ATGAAAGACGACTTAATGCAAGTTGGATAGCAGAAGGTATCAAGAATTTCCAGCTAATTAACTATTCAAAAGCCAATTTGAGACCAATTTAATATATGTTTGAGGATCTAACCAAGACCCCATACAGGTCCCAGATCTCAAAGATAGTGGTTGAATAAGGGCACAGGCAAATAAACAAGCAGTTGTCAAAAGAGAAAACCAAGCACAGAAGCAGTACTTTAGAAATCTGCTGTAAAGAGCACTACAGAATATCAAACTCAAAGGGTTACAGAAGCAGCACTGAGCAGTGGGTGACCCAGTGGAAGATGTAAAACCAGAAGTCAGACCAACTTAAGAGTTGGTTCTTAAGAGTCAGAATTTAACAAGGCAGCTGAGAAGTCCTGGAAACTTCTGGTTAAAAGAAATACATGGAAAAATAAAATTCAGCTGGTGATGCAAAGGATAAATTTAGAGGAGGTCGAAGCTGGCAAAAACGCATGGGAAAGGGAAGAAGAGAAGAGACGCTCTTACTACCCACCAGGGAATAACGAGGAGAAATCTCTAAGTTTGCATGAGGGATTAAACCAACCACAGTTAACTAAGTGAAACCAACTGATCTAGTTCTCCTCTGTTTGGGATACTAGAAGCTCAGAGTCAGATATATTTGCCTACTTTCAATACAGCTAATATTTTCATGCAGACAGTAAATCTGTTGTATATCATTTCTTCCTCTTGACAGGAGTCTATCTATAAAGTCATTTCTATTTCACTGTTTTTGTTTTGGGGCCACACCCAATGGTGCTCGGGGCTGATTCCTGACTCTATATTCAGGGATCAATCCTGGAGGGCTCAGGGGACCATGTGGTGGGATGCTGGAGATTGAATCCTGGTTAGCCACATGTAAGGCAAGTGCCCTACCCACTGTATTATCGCTCCAGTCCCCAAATTACCTCTATTTTACAAATGTGGCAGGAAAAAAAAAGAAAGAAAACCATACCACAGCAGTGGCAGCTGGACCAAACCATTGGTTCAGAGCTAAACCCAAAAGTTTCAAACAGTATTCTGCTCACCCTTCCTGCAGGCTAGCAAAGGCCACGGTCCACAGCAGAAGCTGGAAAATAGCCACTTTTACTTTCTCCACCTCCTTTACAACTAACAATCCAAGAGATGGGCTCCACTGGGAGAGAGTAAATGGGAAGACTCCACAGTGACATGGAGATGGGTATCTTCCCGCCTTTCCTAAGATGGGCCAGACACCGGTGCTATGGGAACCATATTACAAACAGTAGGCAATGAACCCAAGGCCTCTGATAAGACAAAATGCTAAGACTCAAGGAAGAGCCTTAGAACTATCCGATTATACACTGGCAAGCAATCATAAATGCTATGATACAAGCCATCTGTCAAGGACTGCTATCTGCCAAATGCATCCTCATCAATAAAACCCGGGTCATCAGGAGATCAGCTTCTGACAGGTAAATCTTATATTGCTTGGTTAATAAGAGTCTTGCTATTGAGATGAAAATAGTGCAAACATGAGTCATTAGGAAGAAAAGCAATAAGCTAATAAAGCTCCTGGAAGCAACTAAAGATGAAACAAGAATGAGCATAATGACAAGTAGCATGGGAATATGGGATCTGGTGTCAGCTGGGTACTTCCTGAAGACAGAAACAGGAAGAAAAAGAGTAAATGTGGAGAAATCCTCCTGGGTGAGAAAAATCAGGGAGGTTTTCTCTTGTGGAATCGGTACTGATAAGACAACTCAATTATTGAAAGTTAAAAATGTCTAGGTAATTTTAACAGAAATATTGCTCAGATTCACCAAAAAAAAAGATAAAATAAAAAGAAACCCCAAAATGAGCAGAAAGTGGCAGCTAATAAGGTATAGAACCAAGAGTTTGGGGGCTCTGGGGAGAAAGGGTTGTGTTCAGAGAAAGGGCACTAGCCCTTTGGGATAAAACAGAAAAAAGATAAAGGGAAATGGCTAAATTAATGGTATCTTTACAAATGCTATCTTGGACAACAGTGGCTCATTATGGATGTCATACAAGTAAGTTTCAATGATTGGTCCATGCTACATATTAGCAAGTCAGAGATTCCTAAACAATTAACCAAAGACATTAGAAATAAACTGACATTAAATAAATAAGACATTAAGAAATAAATGACTCCACGACTCACACTCTCTCCCCCAACAAGGTGCACCCAAGTTCTTTCCATACTGGCTCGGAAACTGGCTTTCAAGTACACACAATTCAGTGTAAACTTTAGTCATGAGAATCACCTGAATCACACCCTAGTGACCACTCCCAATCGCTTCATAGTAACCTTATAGATCAGGTAAAGATGTCATCTCATCGAATCTTATGGCCCTCTCCATCATAGATTCTGACAGCATAGCATAAAAATGGTGAAAGAAACCAGCAAAAATTGTGAAGTCTGGGGCCAGAGAGAGAGTACAGCAGGTAGGGCATTAGCCTGGCACAGAGCAGACACCTGGGTTTGATCCCTGGTACCCATATGGTCCCAAACACCACCAGAAGCAATTCCAGAGCCAGGAGTAATCCCTCAGCATCACCAGGTGTGGCACCCCATCCCCCCCCAAAATATATATATATGAAGTCTGGGGAAGTGTACACACTGAAAGGACATCACTATTATTAGAGAAGCAGAATTATAGTCATAGCTAAAATTTTTTTTGAAAAAGAAAAGCTCTTCGATCCTCCACTGAGGTTACTTTCACCTGCTTATCTAAGCAGGTAAGTCTCCACTTCATACCACACTTCTTCAAACACTGAAGGCATCATATACTATTACTTTTGCTCCTCTTCACATCCACTTTTGGGGCTGTTCTAAAGGAATGTGACGGACAACTAAGTTCCACCCTCATGGCTCCACCTCCATCACTCAATTCATTTCAAAACTATCGTTCCCCCCCCACAAAAAGTCCATTTAATCGAGGGCAATCCAAGCAGCCCAAAAGAGAAACACCTAATTTACATTATCTTCACCAGGCTGCCAGCTTTGCCCTCCCAGATGTAAGATCGAACCTTGTAGCCCAGTATTCCTACAAATACCCGCGGCCACAATACACCCCTTTTTTTTTTTTGCACGCTTTGTTTCCAGTGGTGCTGCCCCGAGTTTTCCCACCACCTGTGTGTGTGCTAAATGGTGCAAAACTTATAGACGGATTTTACCCTAAGAAAAAGGCCACCCCAAGTGCAGGGAGAAATTAATTAAGTCGGGAACCGGGTGCAGCAACAAACTGCTCTTGGCTTGGCCCTCGCCCTCCCGCCGACGCCGGGAGAAGGAAGGTCTTAGCGAACCAACCACTCGAGTCTCCGGAGAGCCCGGGCGCCCGGGGAGAGCGCGCAGCTCCCGCCCGCGGGGAATCCTGCACGCGTTTGCAGAGAGAGGCTCCCAGGCGCGCGCGGCATTCTGGGTCCGGTTTCCACAGTTACCCACGTGCACCCAACCCAACCGCGGCCCGGCGCGGCCGGGACTACAAGTCCCACAATTCCGCGCGGCCGCCTTTCCCCTGCACACCCAGAGACCGGAGCCAGACCCTAAAGAAAACCCCTCAAGCGCTCTCCCGGCACGCCTGCGAGAGGTCGCGCTTTCTAGACCCCCGCGGGGCCTCCTGCCCAGACCTCCCCGCAGGGAAGTGGGTCCCAGGGCGCCGACCTCGGCACCCGACCACCAGAAATTAGACAACTGCGTCACATCGCAGACTGCCAAACCCATGCACTGCCAGGGACCCCGATACCTCCCCGACCCCAACCGTCCTCCTCCTCCCCAACCTGGCCTGAGGGCCTGACCCCGCGTGCTCCCGAAGCGGAAAGTCCCGCAGCCCCACGCTCCTGCCCCGCCGCCGGGTCCCCTCCCGCAGCCCAGCCGGAGCCAGCGCCGACGCTGACCTCGCTTGCTTCCCGCTGCTCCGGGGGGACAACTGCGGCCAGCGCCGAGCTCGGGGCACCTCCCCGCCTCCTTCGCTTCGGCCCCGCCCCCTTCTCTTCCCAGCACCCGAAACTCTCCCCTCCAGGGACACCCCCGCCCCCCGCCTCGGTGGGGAGGGAACACCTCCCCTCCCCCTGCAACACAGTCTGCCACCCCACCCCCCGTCCCCCAGCCCCCACGAGCACCGAATCTGGACAAGACAATCTTCCTCCAGCCGAGGCCCCTCCCAACCTCCTTTTCCTCCCAACTAGTGCACCTCCCCCTCCCCCTGCCCCCATCCGGCCTCCCCAAACCCTTCCAGCCCTCCTCCTCTCCCCGCGCTCCCGATCACCCCAAGCCCCCCCACACCTGTTCATCCTATCACCCCTCTCCCCACCCCGCTATCCCACCACCGGGCCCTCTGCCCTTCTCGCCCCGTCGGATTCCCCAACTCTTCCATCGCACCCCGATTCCTCCACCCTCTCCCTCTCCCGTTACATCAGCGCTCCGCTCCCTGCCCGCCCTGCAGGCAGCCCCGCACGCACGGCTGCAGCCCCCAGCTTCCCCACCCCATTGTTCCCCCCGCACCCCCACCCCGCCATCCAGTCCTCCTTTCCCATTGTCCCCGCCCCCGTGCTCCCCGAGCACTCACCCGCCTTTCTCAGCCCCTCGGAAATCCTCAGCCCTGCGCCCGCCCGCTCTCTCGGGCTCCCTGCCCCCCCGCCGGTGCCACCCCCCGGCCCAGCCCGCCAGCGCCGGCGGCCGCCTCCACCTCCATTCACCCCGGACACTCAGGTCCCGGCCCCACATCGCACGTCCCGCCCCCCACCCCTGAAACGGAGCCAGTCCCCACCCCCCTCACCTCCGCCCTCCCCGGCAGGCCGGCCCCTTCCCCCCACACCCGCCCCCGCCCCGAGCCGCGGCCGCCCGCAGCGCCACCACCCGCTCCGGCCCGGGAGGGGAAGGGGTGGCTCCAGGGCAGGGGCTCCCGGGCGCGTTTCAGGACAGGAGGCGTGGGGCGGGGACTGCGGGAGCCGAGTGGAGAGTGCTAGCCGCCGGCCGGCCCGCTCGCCCCGTTACTCACTGACAGCGGCAGCATCCGAGTGCATTTTCGGGCAGCTCACACCCTGCTCCGCCGCCCAGGCTCCCGCGCTAGCCCTGCGGTCCCCCCACCGGCTCGCCGCACCTCGGCTCCGAGCAGAGGACCCGCCGCCAGGCACTCCCGGCCCCGCCCACCTCTCCTCCCCCCATTGGCGGAGCCTCGGCCGAGAGGCCGCCCCCCGACTGCTCGCATTGGTCAGAGCGCGCCGAGAGCGCCGTTCTGGAGCGGGCACGGAGGCCCCGCCTCCGGAGGTCCCTGGCGATTGGTCCCCGCGGCTCCTCCCCCGCGAGGTTCCCCCTCCCCCCCGGCGGAGGCCCACGCTCGGGGAGAGCCGGTTGGACCAGGCTGCCGTCACTCATCCCCGGGGGGGGTCCGAAAGCGCGTGTAGGGGCGAGGCCGAAGACTGGGTCCACCCTGACCCTGAAGCCCCGCCCCCTGGCGGGCGCGATTGGTGGAAGTGTAGACCAACCGAGAAAGATGGGTCGGCCTCTGAAACAAAGCACGCGAAGTGTTCCCCGAAGAACAGAGCCCGGGCAGCTGTCGGGGCAGCGGCCGCTCTCCCGCCGGCAACCACGCGTCCGAGTCCCGGGCTGGCCTCGCGCTCCCCGGAGCGGCTTCCCGGAGCGGTGCCGATCCTGGACCGGGACTCCCGCTGCTGCTGAAATCGGGATCAAGAATTGCCGCATCTCCGTTCCCTGCACACGCTCGGGTGAGGAACAGATTCCCTTCGCTCCTACAACGATCCGTCCTCCTCTTCCCCGTATTTTTTTCTCCCTGCACTTTTCCGGAGTCGATACACTTCTAACCCGCTTCGTCACAAATGGGCTGTGCTGAGGGCTTGGAACGCTGCAAGGATTGTGGGTCGCACACCTCGGGCGGCGCTGCAGGAAAATCCAGAGCCATGCACAGAGCTCGGGGCTCCCGTCCGGCACGTCCACCAGCCCAGCAGGGGCAGTTCACCGGCCCTCGAAAGAAAAACGTGCATATGCAGCATATGCATATGCTGTGGACGCAGTTTTCTAAACGAAACCGACTGGCCATCGGCCGGAGGAAAGCATTTCAGTGATTCCTCCCGATCCCTGAGTTTGTCAAGAGTCGGTGATTCACACCATAGTCTCAGGTTCTGCCGATTCTCAAAGATTTTTTTTGAAAACAGCTAATCAGGCACTTACCCTGTGTTGTCGAGGGATATTACTTGGAGATGTCAGGGGACACTCAGCCTACTCCGACCCCGCACCAGCGTACCTACACAAGTATAATCTTGTAAACCCAAAGGCCAGCAGCCGGGCTCCACCCACCCGGCCCCAGAATGGATGACACCGCAGCCTGGTAACCCAACATCAGTCGCTAGGATTTCAGATTTCTAAATAAAAAGGCCTTTTTGAGTTCTGGGAGTCGGAACTTGAGGTTTCAAATCTGCACCTAAAGGGTTGCCACATCAACATGATATTGAACAGAACGGATCAAAACAATTCCGAGGTCAAGCCACTCTCTTTGTCTTACCTGACTCCCTCCCTCTTGGTCCCTCATGTCTCGTTAATCACTTACACCCGTGTAATCTTTCTATCTATTGTATTTCCATCAAACATTTATGAATCACTTCAATCTAGGATCTGAGTTGTACTTGAATTTATCCTCTTCTGGTTCCTCGAGACAGGAATCGATTGTATATGGGTGACCTTTGATCTGACAGCCGTGAGCTTGCCACCAGGAGAGGGTAGATACCTCTGAGATAACTCATTGCTGGTTGGGCAAGTGGAATTACAAGAATGCCTGTCCTTACTCTGAGCAGCTTCTCCTGCAAAGTTTGTCACTTTTGTTTTCAAACTACTCTACATCTAGGACATAATCAATTACAAAGGGCTTATACAAGCATATGTTATTTTTATGATTTCTACTGCTAAGCATGGTACTTTCAAAAGTTGAGTTTTTATTTTACACAATGGGCTTGCTTTTTGACACCTCTAAACACTAGCTTGTTTGAGCCAGACATTTTCTCTGTCAATTTATTGGCATCAAACTTCATAATCATCTGTACATTAAATGAAGAAACTGGCCCAGTACTCCAGAATCACATGGTGTCCATAAATAGCTGAAGAATGCACTTTTTTTTCTTACTCTACATCATTTCTCGGTGGCTAAGTATGATTATTTTCACATTTCAGAAACAATAATTGACAGATCTTAGTAGAAGTCAACTCCAGTTTGAGTATTGAGAAGCAAAACACTTTCTTGCTCAACCAAGACTTAATGCCCCATAGCGCTTTGCGAATAATAAAACAAGTATAGCTAAATGACTAGCACCTAGTACAGTGCTTACAATTATAATTTGTGCTTATAATGCACAAATTTAACTGTTCCTTACAGCGAATGAATATTGACATACTATAACATTTTAAGTCTGGAATAAAATATTGAGGCTTAGCAGACCCAGTACTTCCTCATTTTAAGAATATGAGTTGAAAACAAGAAGTGTTGGCAGGGTTGTGATGAAAAAGGAACCCTCATCCATTGTTGGTAGGAATGTTATCTGGTTCAGGCTCTCAGCAAAGGAATATGGAGATCTCACCAAAAAAGGAGGACTAGAACTCCCATATGACCCAGCAGTACCACTTCTTGGTATCTATCACCAAAACACAAAATCATTGATTCAAAAGGATATATGCACACTTACGTTCATTGCAGCACTTAAGACACTACCAAGATACAAAATCAACCCAAATGCCCAACTGTGGGTGAATTTCAAACAACAATGGACTACTAGGCAGGTGTAAGAAAGAACAAAATCATGCAATATGCTATAACCAGTGGATCCAGAGGATATTATGGTAAAGAAAGTCATTAAGAAGGAAAGGGATACATACAGAATGATCTCACTCATATGTGGGGCTTAAAGATGCACACAGGTAACAATAAAGTCCAAAGGCAACAGGGTTGAAAGGAAGGAACATTGGGAATCTTGGGGGAGGGAGAAGGGTACACTGGGAACGGGTGTTGTGTTGGAATTATGTATACAGGAAACCCTCATTGACAATATTATAAATCATAGTTCCTGAATTAATAAAATAATAATTTTTAAAAATAATTATAAAGGTAAAGGCCCTCCCGTTGATCGTCGATTTGCTCGAGCGGGCCCAGTAACGTCTCCATTGGAGACTTTGTTGTTACTGTGTCTGGCATATCGAATACTCTCGGTAGCTTGCCGGGCTAATTATAAAGAGCTCATTAAATCTTAATAAAAGCTCTGTAGTAAACATGTACAAATTACATCATTGCCAAAAATTTCAACCCAATTTATGTCCAATCTTTCATAATTACACTCAGGATGGATAAAATAAATACAAGTATATTGGTCTAGTTAAAGGGGAGGGAGGAGAATGAGACATGAGATCCAAAGAAAAATATCTAACCCAATTCACTCAGCATAACAAAGCAATAAATTTTCCCAACTTCTAGACCAATTCTTTCCCCCAATACCAGACTCCAATATCAAAGTTTCACATTTCAAAGATGGATAAACTATTTTCGCCTCCCTTCCCACTAGAAACAGATCAAGCTAATATAAAGTTTTATACTTCATAGAGCTGGAATATTGCCTTTTTAAAGGATTTCGTCAGGAACTTGAAAACTATAGTATATATTTCCTTTTTTTCCTCACTGGTACCATTCCCAAATAACTTGATCCCTATGGGGATATTTACTGAGATAATGATGTTAGACTTCTGTGCATTTATATTCAAATCCTTAGAGAAAAAATTAATAATTGTCTTGGGACATGATCGGTAAAGATATTTGGGGATGTATTCTGTGCCATTTTGCTTCACCTGGTTACTACTGTAGGGTAACATGTGGACAAGTTACCTTATGTCAGCTGATAGACAAGAGAGTGAGGGAGAGAGAGAGAGGGAGAGGGACAGAGAGAGAACAAGAGAGAACTGGGGGTAAGGAGCTTACCTTTCATGCAGCAGACACAGGTTCAAGCCAGGAGTAAGCTCTGATCACTGCAGTATATGCCCCCAAACAAAAAGCAGCTGATAATCTAATTGGAACTTTTGTATTAGTTGTATATTAATTTAATCATATATTTATATTGAACTGCTCTCAACTAGATTAGAAATAGATAGAACAATCTTAAAGTGAGAGAAGGAACCACTGAACTGTTTCAGAGATATTTCAGTATCTCTGAAATTTTAAAACTTTACCTCTGATTCCACTGATGGAATCAGTTAGCATGTTTTTCCTGGATGTGTTATAGTTAGGGTACAAGAGGGAGAATGGCAGGTTCTCAAGACTGAAAGGCAGTCAGGTCTATTCAGACAGATAAATGTACCCCTGGGAATATTTGTATGGGATGAGAAAGAATACACAGCAGGAAGGAAGAAATTCATCAAATTGCAGTGCAAATATGGAGCACTTTACCAGTTGTAAAACATCAAGCTAAAAGGGTTCCCAGAATATGGAAACAAAAATAATAAATACATGTCTTAATAGAGATGAAGAATCTTTATTTATTCAAACTCAAAACCAACTGACCCAAATGATGGCCATTTTAGTATTTTCAAGCATATAAAAAGGCACTGCTCTTATAGTGATTTACTTACAAATTATTACAAAAAGAGGTTACTAATATTATCCCCAATTTACAGGTAAGTTAACTGAAAATTTTCAGTAGTCTGCTCCAGAGCGTATTAGTAACCTTTGCCCCTAATTAAACAAACTCCCTGTGTGGTGATACTTCATGCTGAGTTTCAATTCCTTCTCTTTTTTAATCAGGATAATATGACCTAGAATACCTGAGAGGTTTATTTAGAAGACAGTGGCATGAATGTGTGCCTTTTAAAACACTCGAGGCAGGACCTTGTTTGACAGCTGAAATCTAACCATTCTGGCTATCTTCATAATAGATATGTACTATGAAGAATATGAGTCAGATTATTTCCCCACTGCTACATTCTTGCTAGCTATTTCATCCTGTTGACCTTATTTGAACGCAACTCTCTTCTTGGAATATTATTCATGAGATTATTCATTCAGATTATCTAATGAGGCTCTGCTGAATATAGTAAATCCTCGATTTTTATATATCAGTGGGAAGAGGCAACTTTTTG